GCTGCCCTCATCAGGCACCTGGTGGCTGCCAGCTCCAGGCCCTTAAAGTGGCCGGCACACACAGTGCCCTGCCACAGCCCCCAAGGTCTGGAATAGCCTGCCACCAGAGCTGGTTCAAGCACCTACTTTGATTGCCTTCAAGAGAAATTTGGATGTTTATCTTGCTGGGATCCTATGATCCCTGCTGACTTCCTGCCCCTGGGGCAGGGGGCTAGATTCAAAGATCTTCTGAGGTCCTTTCCAGCCCTATTGTCTATGAAATCTATGAGTCATGGGAAGAAACATGACAGGCAGTGGCCAGACAACAGAGATGTGTCTGGGCAGCAGCAGCACAGGGACCGAGGAGAAATCCTCAAGGAGAGACTGGTCGGGCGGCCCTTGTGCATGATTGTATGGCAAGATATATTGCTGAACAACAACACCTAGGCCTCCTTTGTTCTATCTCTTGGTTATGTTAAAATAAATTAATTTATACTTTAAATCTGAGTCTGTTTACAGGGGCATGCAGTGTTTCAGATGTGGGGTAGAGGGGAGGACGGTCAAGGGAAGGGGGAGGAAATGTGGACTGGGTCAGGGGTTTGCTCCTTCTAGACTGTTAGTGGTTTGTGGGAGGGGGACATTAAACACCATGACCTACATCTGAATGAGCCTCTCCCACCCCCCACATGGGTGAGAAGTTTAATTATACCTCTTAGCGGGCTAGGTGGGTGGGGGACCAAGCCAAATAGCAACCCACATTTTCAAAAACATTTCGAAAACATTTATAAAACATTTCATAACACACCTCCAAAAGCCATATGTCGCACTACCCAAACGGATTGACAGTGGAACCAGGGTAGGGAATGGGAAGGTTCCAATGGGAGCCCCCATTGGAAACTGTTCAGAGATCAATGAGCTTGGGAATGCTGGGAAATGTAGTCCAAAAACATCAGAACAAAAAAGAAGCCAGAATAGCTCACCGCCACCACCAACATCGACAGCAATCACCAATCAATTGGGCAGCAACAAACAACTACTCTAAACCCTCAACATTTTATGATATCATAGCAGTTATACAGTAAATAAAAGAAAAAGCACATATATTTGTAGCATGGTGGGATGGAAAGGGAAAGGAATGGGAGGGGAGGATTCATGTGGCTTATCTTTGGGATGGGAATTGTGATGGGGACTTTGGGATTGCTGTGGCAGGGATATCACCACGGATAAAAACTTACTTGGTGGACGGGAGCAGAGGGAGGTGTGGAGCTGGTGGGACACTGCCAAGGGCTGGAAGCATGGTGAAAGAGGGACCGCCACAAGAGAACACGCTGTGCTGAAACCAGAAGGAGAAAAGCCACAGCAGCTGTAGTTGGCCATGGGAGAACCAGTGTGTGCACTCGCACCAGTGTGGGCCTGTTTTATGGCAGTGTGCCTGTGCTGGTTTGTCGGCCAGCCCCCTGAAGGGGGAATAAAAACCCCGCTGGACAACAATCGAGGAGGACTGGAAGTGTGTTCTCTGGAAGGGCCAGAGTGGCTAGGATCACTATAGCCCCAATAGGGGGCGAGTGGTGGCAGCCCCAGGATGGCACATGCCTGGACAACACTGGCTCAGCAGAGCCTAAGCTCTTACCTGGGACGGGACCCTGGATCCTGGATGCAGCTGGCTGGGACTGGAACAGCGGTGAGCCTGGGGAGAGAAAGAGAAGAGAAACCACAGCATACTGTGAGTCAAAACGAAAAAGGAAAAGGAGTGTATCTGGGAGCAAGGCAACCAGGGGCAGATAGAAATACAAGTTATGCTAACGTACGGCCTGAAGCTGGATGGTACACTGCCCAAACTTGACTTTGAACCTAGAAGGGCTAAAGCCCTTACTGTGACAAGCAGACTTTGTCTCAGTTGTGGCCTGGAATCAACATCTTTGGTTGGCACAGGGCGGGGTGTAGGGGAGGCGGAGCCCCAAAATGGGAGGCTGGGCAAGAAGGCCGAAGGAGGGAACCAGGGGAGGCAGGACTTTAAAATATCCTCCCAACAATAACCAATACCAACAAGATGTGGCAGGAAAGAATCCCCGGGGAACTTTCAAGGTATCTGCCCAGATGACAAGCTGTTGACCAGAAAAGAGATGGAGGCGCCCAAAAGGCCAGAAAGAGCAAAGTGCGTTAGCGAGTGGCACGGGAGGTTACAATTGCATACTGATGGAGAGAGACAAGACTGACTGACCGAGCATAGGTGGGTGAAAGTGACAAGGTTTTTGGAGTGACTGTGCCCAGGGGAGACTCCCAGTGAGAGGTTGGGGGTGGGGTCAGGGGAGGCCAGTTTACATGTGCCTCCTGTTGTAACACATTAGGAAAGGCATTATGTGGGGTAGATTGGTATTTGACTCCCCCTACTGAAATCGGTGGGGAATGACACAGGAGACTTAACTTGCTCAAAAGTGCCATGCTGTGCGAACACGAATGCTGTGTCATGCAAGCACAAATATGCCGCATCAAAAAAAGCGCTGCGTTAAAATTTTGAGGCAGTCTACATTAACTCCCGTTTTGTCTACATATGCCCTAGGACCAACTTTGTGAAGTGTTCTTATTAATGCTCACATTCTCACAGAATGTGATGTCACCAGCAAAGTGGGAACAAAACTGCCAGCATTGAATGCATCACCAGAGAATTCCTTTTAGGTTTTGCTGAAGATAACACACTTTCTGAGACCATAGTTAACAGAGCCAAAGAATACTTGTTAAGGTCCTACAGCAATCACTTCATTGCAAACATTTGATGAGCTTCATTTTGCACTGTACAAAAGTACACATATCTCACAGCTTTCCCCCACTTCTTTCTCTATTTGAAATGGACATCTCAGGAGATGCTTCTCTGTGCCACATGAATGCTTTAGCCTGGATGATAGTAACTACAGAAGTATGTTCATTCTGAAAGATTTGGGGTAGTACAAAGACCCGAGTGGAGCTTTTTCCAGACAAATGTCTCCATTTTGTTCCTGGTGAATTATTGCTGATATGTAACTGTGCAAGATACAAGTGTCAGAAAAATTACATTTCTTGTACTGAATACTGCAAATGTGGTGAAAACTGTATAAGGAAAACCAAGTAGTCTAATGGATGATACGTTTGATTGCCCCAAAACATTTAAAGAAACATTCTTTTAATAGTAGCATTAATTTCTTTAATATCATGTTGTATGTTATAACACTTCTTATGAATTCCATATTGATATTCCAGTTTTATATACAGCATTTAGATTTCAACTGGTATATAAGACAAATTTTCATAAAGTAATGTTGAGATAATTTTCTTTGAGAGAACTGCAAAGCCTACTTTCTTTTGTCACTATGACATTGGAAACATCTTTATTGGATTGTTTGATTTTGAAAACATTGGGTTAGACACCAAGATTACTTTGTACCATACTTAGAAGAGGAGATAGCTGTCACCAACGAACAACTGTTGCCATGTTCAAATATGGTGCCCTCCCATGCTCCGTGCACTGAATGGTGAAGTCTACCCAAGGGTTTTTTTTTTAAATCCTTTCACATGTATTTTCTCAAGTACAGGTGGTTACCTTAGCTGGTTTTGACTTTTCTACAGAGGGTCTATGCCAGGGACAGGACTATCTTCAGGAAACAGATACATTTTGTTGCATTTTACAGAATAGATATCTGTGCCCTCCTAGTTGTACAGAACATCAGGCAGGATCCTACTGGCAAATAGCATCAGTGCATAGCTTGTTGAGCTCAGTCTTCCTAGCAAGCACTTTGCTTTCTGGTCCCACAGGCCAGTGACAAGTTTTGCAGTGGAAGGACTACCTGCAGAGCTGCAAATGAAATGATTAACCTTGCTTCTTTGATTCACCCTTCTTCCTATCCTGTAAACTCCAACATAGCCCTGAAAGTCTTTCCTGCCAACCCACAACTTTGACATGTAAAACACCTGCCTACCATCTGACCTTCCATTCGATCTGGTCATCAGCTAATGAAACAGTCTATGAACACATAGGCTGCATCCAGATGAGTGGAAATGTGTTTCCCTGGGGACAAGCAGCAGCAGCCTTACCTGAGGGACTTGGGGAGCTGCAGACATGGTGCTCCTTCAGCAAGGAACCTGGCCAGCAGCTGAAGCATGGCTCTGGCTAGCCAGGCTCCAGTTTTGGGCGGTACACACTGCTGCCATGTGCATTGCCCTGCTTTTTATCAGAGTGGGGTTTTTTTTGACCCCAGGATCTCCCAGGGATTGTGAAGAGATAAACAGTTTTGCTGTAAAACATGCCCTTCTCTTCCTTTGGAACAGCACTGGAGCCTCAAATAGCTCTAGTTCCTTTAAAACATTGTTTAATGGGCATCAACCTTTTACTTTATGGACACCCAGCCATTGTTTCTTATCACAATGGAGAATGCAAGCAGGGCATCAAGAATAGCTTCTGGGAACCCGCCTTTGAGCCCTTCAACTGGAGTAACAGGTCTCTGACATGATATTCCAGCTCTCAAGATCTCTGACCAGCTGGGAAATGCACAGCAATGCACAGCTGCAAGCTTTCCCTTCAGTGGCCCCCAGGCCCAGCCCTTGACCCAATCCCTCTTTCACCATAGGGGCCTCAATCTGCAACCCTTCCCCCCATTAACCAATTAGCTCAAAATAAAAAGCGAGGCCTTTGTAAGAGGGGGCAAGGCAAGACGCTGTGTTTATTGATTTAGTGCTTAGTACACACACACACACACACACACACACACACACACACACACACACACACACACACACCCCCCCCCCCCCCCTCTCACCTCTCGGCCCCCCGATTTCTGCGCTGGCATATGTTACCAGTCTCATCAGTGCTCGAGTCAGTGGCCAGCTAAGTTGATCATGAGTGGGAGCCGGGTTTCTGTTGGTCTGTATCCTCAGGCAAACTGATGCTCCAGAATGATATGCAGAACAAGACCCAAAATCAGCATGTCTCACCCCATCTTTTATACTCTTGTCAATTAATTCAGTTCTCTGAGCTTTGGCTGTGTTATTGCTGCATGGATGCCACGTGCCCCCAGAGGCTGGGGGAGCACGGCAACTGCCTGCAGGCAGTGGCAGTGGTGTTGGCGGTGGGGGCATGGGGGCAGCGAGTGGGGAGTTCCCACAGATGGCTGTGGTGGTGTGGGTGATGGGGGGGTGGCAGGGTGGCGAGCGCTGACTGGTGGTCAGCGACCACCCGCAGACTCTACTAGTGGTGTTGGCAGCAAGGTGAGAGGGTGGCGAGTGGTGACCACCTGCAGGTGCTGCCAGCAGCATCAGCGGTGCTTTTTGCAGGGGGTGCACCGCCAAGCTCAGGGGGTGCACGTGCACCCGCATGTACCACCTACACGTTGCCAATGTATCACTGTGTTCCACCTTAAAGGTCAATTGATGTTGTTCTCTCACTGTTCTGGGCTGGATTCTTCTTGTTTTGGTCTTTTATCCATCTGCATTCTTCAGCCAGTTGCCAACTTGTGTTTTCCTTTTCCACAACCACACTCTCATCCATTTCATCACACATGCAGCATACAAAGGAGTGAAAGGTCAGCACTTAAATCAAGCTACCGAGCAATACAAAATGGAATTTCTTAAGTCAGTGCAAAACTTGAGAAAATACACACACACACAAAAATAAAAATAATACACAAGATTAAGGCAATAGGCAAAAGTCTATCTCTATGTTATTTACCTAACATAAAGCTGGTATTTATGCCATTTGCATAACACCCTTCCGCCCCCCCCACCCCAAATTTAACTGCAGGCAGCTGGGGGAATTACTTTCCACCAGTGCCAGCTTGGAAGCTCTGTTCACAGACCACAAGGGCTCTGCTTCTGCCTGTGCCCTGTAGGAGCCCAGTGCAGGGTTAGCTCCTTTTGCCACACTGGAGCTGTGTACTAAACCACTTTACAGACTGAATATCATCTAACAACTGATTTGGGAAGCTTTATAGAACCTACCAAATAGATGAGCTCCAAAGAAAGGAAGATTATTCAACAGATAATACCCACTGTCCCCACGTGGACTGTGCAACCATCTCCCATTTACCTTAATGCCATGCACAGGGGTGCTAGGGTTGCCCATCTGGTGCCATCAGTAACCTAGTTCTGAGGCTCATTAAGTTGTTCTTGATTCTCACTTTAAAATAACCAACCCCAGCTCTGGCCTGAGGGGGCTGAGGGCTGTCAGAATCCTCCCAGAAGGATCCAACCTGTCCCTTCTGAGAAACTCCCCAGCTGCATTTCAAGGATGAAGAGCTCTAGGAAGATAAGGGAATACAAATAAGAACAGCTGCTCCAGCCAAACTGGTGCTGTCAGTGAGCCAAGAAAAGTCTGGAAACAGCTCCAAGTTATATGAGACAGGGCAAAGATGATTTGGGGAGAAGGACATAAGGGAAATGGGAGAGCAGTGGGTCAGTAGTATAACTAAGAAGGGAGGTGAGCAGGGCACCAGCCCCAAATACAGATTTGGGGAGGGAGGGCAAAAGTAGCAGCCACTGTGCTGCTGGCCTAGCTACAGCCACCAGCAGCCTGGGCTGCAACTGCTGCCCTGTGTGCCATTTCTGCCCAGGGCTCAGAACTACATGGTTATGTCCCAGAAGCAGAGGCATAACAAGCTTTTTCAGTATTGGGGGTTGAGGGGAAGGAATGCTAACTGCTGGAGAATGAAGGGGGAGAGGTAGTGAGAGGGGATTCCTACACTGCTCTCTTCTCTCTTTACTTGAATGGCAGCTGTTGTTTCTGCTGCCACTGAGGCACAGACAGTAGCACAGGCTCCCCAGGGGCCAGCATTCTCTCTAAGCTGTGCGCATGTGTGGCTGCGCACAATAAACTCATGCTGCACAATAACTTTTTAAGGCCGTGCACACAGTGGTGTACTGACGGGGTGGGGTGGTAGGGGGCCATGGCCCCTGAGCGCTGGCCTGAGGGGGGTGCCCAGTGCCGTAGCAAGGGGGTGCCGACGCCCCCCTTGCCAATGCCGCCAGCTTCACATCCGGCCTTTCGCTACCTGCCGCAACCTGGCCACAGGCTGCTGCAGGAAGAGGGAGGGGTGGGCACGCTGAGATACTCACGCACTCCCAGCCAAGATTGCTCACAGATCACTAAACCTTAGAGCAGGCAAAATTTTTTGGCTGGAGTGCTGAAAAAAGCCACAATGCCTACCTTGGAAGGTGCCGGAGTGCCGGCATGCCAGAAAAACAAAACAAGGGCAGGGGGTACATGGCAGGATGTCCTGCTTGTGCCCCTTGCCCCCCAGCCAAAGCCCCTGCCCCCCCAGTCCTGCTGCCTCTTTCCCCCACCCAAAGCCCCTGCCCCACAGCCCTGCTCATGTCCTTTGCCCCCCAGCCCAGGCTACGTGGCTATCAGCAACTACCCAGAACCTGGGCTGGCTGCAGCCAGGAGGCTGCAAACAGCTGCTCTGGCCCTGGCCCTGGCCTTGGCCCCAGATGCCTCCCAGTCCCAGACCTGGCCCTGAGCTCTGGGGAGGCAGCAGATACCAGCGATGCTTCTTGCTGTGCTGCCTTCACCGACGCTTCTGCAAAGCAGTGTGTGGGACCCGGCACAACAGGGCACAGCTGGGGTCACAGAAAGTTGCCTACCACTCCGAGCTCCCCTCTGCCCTAGCCACACTTCCCCTGCAGGCAGGGGCACCAGCGAGGGGCACAACCTGCATGCTGCCCATGCTGCTCTCGTGCACTCAGGGGAAGTGTGACCCGGCAGCACGGAGCTTGCGGCAGCAGGCAGCTTCCCTGTGCGGCCCCTCTGTGCGCTGCTGCTCCAGGTCACACACACTGCACTCCCAGCCCTGCTGCCCTCCCCTGGGCCCTCCAGAGTGTAGCGTGTGCAACACGGAGTGACAGTGCACAGAGGGGCCACACAGGGAAGCTAAACCTTTTCAATTTTCCCATCACATTACGGCAAGGAGCACAGTCCTTTTTTTTGTCAGAGCCAGAGCCTGCCAGTAGCCAGGGGGTGAGCTGCCGGTGAGATGAGTGGGCCCTGAGCTGCAGGGGGCACCAGTCCTTCCCTCTGGGCAATGGCACCCCACCCCCCACTGGGACCACTGGGCGGGCTGCTTGTGTACCAGGTGCTGCCCCAGCTCAGAGGCAGCACCTGGCTCAATCCAATTTTTCCACAGTCCTGAGCTGGGGCAGCACATGGCCCACTAACAGCCCTCCTGGGCAGCCCTAGAAGGCATTGCTGCTACGGAGGGAAGGACCTCAGAAGCACCCAATCCAATGCTTCTTGGAATCCACCTGGGCTTCCAGCACTCTGCACACTATCCCTGCTGCCTTCTTTGGCTGCCAGCACACCCAGCTGCCTTCCTGCTGCCTTCCTACACTGCTCCTGGGGCAAGTCAGCCCATTCTTTGGCAGTCCCAGGCATCCTGCCGGCTGCAGGAGCCTGCTTAAGGTAGAAATGGTGAGGGGTGTGATCCTTTTTTTTTGTGGAGCCTGCCTGAGTCTCCCACAGCCAGGGTGGGGTGCGGGGTGGTGAGCTGACAGCTACATTGTTGCAATTTGCAGTGATACAAACTCATTTAAACCTCCTAAAACTCTTGCAGGTATACAATGTGATGCCATTAAGCCACACAAAGTGACATTTTTCACCATGTGTACATGGTAATAGCATCACATGTACAAGCACCCGTAGTGCCTAGAGTTGGTTCCCCGCTAACTTTCTGTACCTGCCTGGCCTCGAGCAGCCATTCGTGTGCTGCCTTGGCCTGGGTGGTCAGTAACAGGCATACCGGTGTTTCCTGTGGACCCTGAGGTAGGTATCTATCACCTAAGTGGCCACCCCCAAACTCACCTGCCACGACTTTGGATGTAATTTCAGTGGTAGGGGTAAACTGCCTGGGGTTCCTTAGTGGTAGGTAGTCCACTAGATGGCCATCCATGGGGTTCCATCTCCCCTACACCTCAGCCTCATGCCAACCTTCGGTGGGTCACTAGGTCTTGAGTCGACCGTTCCTTCGATGCAGGTGTGCCCTCGACCCTGACGCTCTCTTGGGTCTTGTGTCCCGAGCATTTTTCTCCTATGGCGGTCCACTGACCTACTAGCTAGCCTAAGCCTGGCCTCTTCCTCCCTAGAGCTACCTCAAACTGAAAAAGCCAACAACAAAAAAAAGGAATGGGAGGAAGCTGCACTGCTGCACTCTATTCCCCTTAACCGAGACTTCTCCTCCACTAGGAGACTTAGTTCACGTGTGTTTTTTGCCCCACCACCACAAGCCCTCCAAAGGAGGGGAAAAAAAAGAGAACGAAATAAAATTATGGATTGGGGAAGGTCTGCTCAGTTCCCTCCCTGGCCCTACAGTTAGGACATGATGGGGTCTCCTCATCACTCCCCCTGGGATTTCTTCACCTCCATCCCTGCCAGTTAGTCTTCCATGCCCTGTACCTGGGCACGTTCAGGACAATGACCCGTCATCTGGTCTGGGGTGGCTAAGGCTCCTCTTCCTGGGCTGTTGCTTCCCTCACGCCACTGAATGCGGCTTGCAATGCCGCTTTCCCTTGGCGTCGTGTGTGGTGTTCTGCCTCCGGCGTCCCGTGGTCCTTCAGGCTTGGGTCCGTCGCTGCCCATGCTGTGAGCTGCTGCCACATCTGTTGCTGCTCCTCTTCCGGGCTCTCCTCTTCTCTGCGCACACCAGCCTCTGCTGGTGCAGAGAGCCTCTTCCGGCTCTCCTTCCTCCCAGGTACAACAGCTGTCGCCGGTGCAGAGAGCCTCCTCTGGCTCACCTCTCTTCCGAGTACACCAGCTGCTGCCGGTGCAGAGAGCCTCCACTGGCTCTCCTTTTCCCCTGGCGCCTTCCTCAGTGATCCTTTTTATTCCCGCCGGCCGGTGATTGCTGATGACGTCACCGGCCGGCCTCAGTTGTATAAAGGCATGGCTTATAACCCCTGCAGGTTCCCCTGGCATGCTGTATCCAGCCCAAATGAACTCCACACCTACTGCCCTCTGGATCCTGCAGGCATGGAGTTTTTCTTGGTCTGGAGGTGGCAGTGTCCACCATTGAGAAGTGGCCAGCAGGTTCTGCAGGAGGTGTGGAGACCATCCTCCTTCCCTTCCTCCCACTTTCCTTTGTGAATATGGGAATACTGAAGTCAGTGGAGTGAGAGGAGAGCTGGGCACAGTGCCAGACCAGGGCGCTAGGGAAGTGTCCTGGGGAGCACAATCCTGGCAGGCTGAAATGGAGACAGGTTCTTCCCTAAGTAATAAACATGGACTAAAGCAGCTGGGATTGGTCTGGCCAGCAACACTGTACAAAAGGATACTGGGTCCAACAATTCACCCCCCTCCTCTGGAAAACAGCAATTGGCTAGGGCTTGAGCTGTGACAGCCCTCAGGACACTCCCGTAGTGAGACAACTATATATGAGCAAGTGCATACATTGCACCTAAATATATGAAGAAGCCTGCACACAGATGTAGACAACATACACACACACTTGCAAAGAAACCAGTTTTTAGACTTGGATGCACAGAAGTGATGTCCAGTCACTAAATGGGTGTTTAGTGGCATAAAGCCAGAGGTGTAACAAACAATTTCTGCATCCTGGGGAGTGGTGGTGGCTGAGACAGTGGCAGCAGCAGCCAGGTCGGGAACCAGCATTCTTGTACTCCCTCAGAACTGGAGCTCAGACAGCACCTGTGTGGGTTGCACACCACAAGGGGAGCACTAGTGGAGGCTACAGGCCTCCCAGCTGCACACTTCATGCATGCATGTGTCAGTGGCTGCTCCCCCAACCTGCTGCTCCACATCTGCGTGTTGGTGGGCAGTTGCTGACATGACAAAGCACCTGCCTCACCTTCAGCTCCCTGAAGACTCCCTTGTGGCATCACACTGCATGGGTACTCTGGGCTGCCAGTTCATTCAGCACTGTGAGGCCCTGACCCCTGGGGTAGGGTCACGCAGAATTAAAAAAAGGACTGCAGAAGTTACCTGCTACTCCACAATAAAACATGTTGTTCAGTTCTTATTAATGCCTATCTTCTTTGAACCTAATGATCATTACATGGTGTCAGCAGTGGTGAATGAGAAAGAACTTGAGTTCTAAAGTGAAAAAGAAGCTGGAAACAGAACAAGTAGAGCAATGCAGCTATGTGGATGGATAAGGGCCACTGTAA